TTTTTTGAGACAGGCTCTTGCTATGTAGTTCAGGCTGGCCTTGAACTCACTGTATAGCTAGCTGGCCTCAAGCTTGTGATCTTCCTGCCTCAGCTGGAATTACAGGTTTTAATTTGTTATATTTGACACAGCATAATTTGTTATCATATTTGTTTGTTTTGTGGCAGTGGGGGTTGCACACAGAGCCTTGCATTAAACTACATCCCTAGTCCATCTGCCAGCCCACCTGCCTACCTGCCCTCCCTCCCTCTCTTCTTTCCTTCTTTCCTCCCTCTCTTCCTCCCCCGTCATGATCAGACATGGTCTTGCTAAGCATCTCAGTCGCCCAGGCTGGGCTCCAACATACAAGCCTCCTGCCTCAGCCTCCCACAGTGCTGGGTTATAGGAATGTGCCACCATGCCTGATTCTGTCAGAGTTTTTAAGTGGACACTTGCTGACCTCTCCTTGGTTTTGGTTCTCTAGCACTGGTTTGTTGTAACTCTTCCAGATTGACCAAAGTCAGGGCAGTGAAAATGGAACTGGTGCAAGTCATTCCATTGTCCTGTGGCTTCCGAAGTGTGTTTGGACCTCCGTGGGAGCTTTGTAACGAAGCCAAGGAATTTAATTTCTGGTGGCTGCTTCCAGCTCTTCAGTTTCCTCCAGGATTAAAGGCATCACAGGAAGGTTGAACAGAGCAGAGCAAGAGGAAGTGGGGAGATGGGCCAAGGTGGATAGTGACATAACACAGATTCTTACCAGTTCTCATCTTGGCCTAACTCCATTTCTGAGCATTTGGTTATATTGTTTTCTTCATCCTTTGAGAACCACAAGACTTCATTTCACCAGAGGATGGACAAGCAGGTCTCCCTAAGCTCGGGTTGGAAGTTCTCACTGGCCTGGGAGTGGCTTTTCCTGTCTCTGTAGATGACTTGGCATTCTGGGGGTTTGTCTGTAACCATCTCTTTGTTCAGAACTTTTGCTGCTACAGCAGGAGGCAGGGGCTTCAGGTGGCTCAGGTGCAACTCTGAGACTCCAGGTTGGCATGAGTGCTAGGGGAGCCTGTTAATTAGCACGAAACACCCTGATGCTCCATTAGCCAGCCCAGGCATTCAGAAGCTTCCCCTCCTGGGGGCCTCTTCCTCCTAATGAGAGCTGGGAGAGGTCCCTCACAAAACACTGCCTCAGAATAATATTCCGCTTTGTCCCCACCAGTAACCAGGGCTGACAGGATCACTCTGTCCATTTCTCTTCTAATTAGCACAATTCTAGCATGGCCTGAGCCAGCAAACGGAGAAAAGCGATCAAAAGCGATCGGACAACCGTACCGAATCACAAACACAAGGAGGCCCATTCTCTGTAATTAGGTGAGACAACTCTTCAGTCTTTCCTCGGCTGGAGTTTGCCGCTAAGACTCTTGCTGTGTGGGTCCCAGCAACATAAGTTACGTGTCTCCCTGGGACCCTAATAAGCCCCAGATTGTCTTCCGCTTCACACAACTCTAACCAGGGGACAGATGGGGGGGTAGCAGTGCAGCAAGGGGACAGAGGACAGGGTTTCTAAATAAGCAGCCGCTGTGAGGCTCTGAGAGGCAGGCGCTGGGGCAGTTGGCTTGAGAGCAGAAGAGCTCTGGGCACAGCCTGACCCCGTCCTGAGCTGCAGTCTGAGGCATTTGGCGGGGTGGTTATGTTCTACTCTTTGCTCTTTGACTTCCCCCCTCATTTGTCTCTTTTGGTCCCTTTTTACCCCTTCTCCTATGCGTCCACTCCGGGCCCATCACAGGCAGCTGTGACAGGCGCCATTCCTGGAACCACACTGAAGTGCAGTGCGGCAGAAGAGAGCGAAGCACAGGCTGCATAGCTCCCTACCTACCCTGACCTGCGCTAAGAGCCCGCAGCGCTTCGTGCCTCCAGCCCTCGCCTGCTGTCCCCAACCTCGCTCCTGGATGAACCCTGCTTTTTAAAACAGAAAAGTGGCCTGTCAACTGCCAAGAGTGCAGCCAAGAAGCCACAACTGGCCGCACTCCACGAGGCTCGGAAATTGGCCACTTAATGAATAGAAACAGCTCCCAGAGTCGCTGCCTGTTACAGGGATTATTTGGGGGCAACACAGTGGTCACGTGGTCATAGCCAGGAACAAAGGATGAAGGGGAGAGTGGCGTGGAAATCTCAGTACAGCCCCAGCTCTAAACAGAATATTTTCATCTTTATCTTGGGCTGTGCTTTGTCTCAATCTGTACCTGATGCTTTTGAAAGTGACCTGCAATACTAGAAAACACTCAATTATATAGATAGCAGTGAGCTTCAAAATGCTGGTGATCAGAGTTGCTTTGTTTTTCCGTCTTCCCTGAGACATGGAGAGGAAACAGTAAGATTTAACTTCTGAAATTACTTTCGAGTAATGTCAGAGAATGTGTCCCTATTTGCTCAGTCTCCTATAGTTTCTTCGATTATGAACACAGCTTAGAAGATAACCTGGCACATAATAGGTGCTTACTAAGAATCTGTTCAAAGACCAGCCTGTGTCTTGCTAGTCAGCATTCATAGCCAGTTATTGACCTAAAGAAAGAGCTTGGATTCCAAGAGAGGCAGAGATGAGCTTGTGCAAGACTCTGTTCTCTCTGCATCCGTTTCCTCGGGCAACGTTTACAGAGGCGACCCAGTGTCAAGAGAAGAACAGACTCAAAAGTCAGGTTGCCAGGGCCTGAATCCTGCTCCTGCCATCTACTAGCTAGGTGATGTTGGGTAAATTGCCTAACCTCTCTATGCCTTGCTTGGTTTGCCCATTTATGAACTAGGTACCCTAATAGCCCCTAATCGTAGTGTAGTTATAATGATTGAAGGGGTACTTGCAAAGTGCAAGAACAGTGCATGTCTTCTCATTATATAACTGTTTGATGAGCTGTATAAAGTTGGTGCTATTAGTCTTTTTTATGCAGTTCTCACATTTTAAACATGTACATCCCCCACAAAAAAAATTAATAAACCCACCAGGCATGGTGGCACACATCTATAATTCTAGCACTCAGGAAGCTGAGGCAGGAGGGTAACCACCAGTTTGAGGCCAGCCTGGGCTACCTAATGAGTTTAAGGCCAGCCTGAACTACATCATCTCCCCTCTGCCATTGATAACCTAGAGAAAATATGGTAACTTTTGGTTACCTAGAATAGTCAGTTAAACAGAGTGCCATTTCTCTACCCCTTCAGGAGGGCTGGCAGTTTACTGACTATTTCTAACCCCATCCTCCCACCTCAAATCTGAGGTAACCCAAGTGTCAGCTTGGGCATTTAGTAAATACCATGTTGACTTTGCATACAGTGGCCATAAAGACCATTTGCTGCTAATGAGCAAGGGAGGGAATGATGCTCTTTGTGACATTAGTAGGTTACTGAGTCGATACTGTGCTTGCCATGTCTCCAATTGTGCCTCCCTAGTCTTTGTGGTCTAATAGTTTAAACATCCACACTTCACTTCCCTGCTGTGTCCCGGCTCCCATGCCCCATCCCTCCAGCCTTCCTCCAGATGCTTTGTTACGGAGTTGCTCAACTTCTTGTTACCCTAGGAGGTCCTCTAGGGCCTCCTCAGGCTTCACCCCGTCTGGCAGCCTGTGGAGAGCAGCCTGGCCTGAGTGCAGCCTGAGAACTCCAGGTCAAGCAAGGCTGAAGGTCACATACCGGGTCTTCCTGGACATAGCTAAGCCCCGGGAGCCAAAGGAGCTGCTGAGAAGAGTCAAGTTAGAAAAGTCAGTGACTTGAGGCCCAGAAACCAGAAGCACTAGCTACAGCTGCAGCGGAGCCTTGGGCAGGGCCATGAGGGCTGCGCAGGGCCCAGAACCAGAACTGGTCTCTGCGGAAAGGCGGGTGTCTGGCAAGCTCCGGAGAGCTGCTTCACCTTGGCCGCCTGCTCCCTACCCTCTGTCCCTGCTGCCGCTGCCACCGCCTGCGCCTTCTTCCAGCTGAACTTCATGCCTGCTTCTCCCACAGCCACACCACCACAGCCAAGCGAGCAGATGGCCCACAGGTGCGCAGACGTGCGGCTGTGGAGCAGCTCACGCCGCACTTACGTAGTGAGCTAGTAGGCGGCCTCTCGGTGTGGCAGGAAAGGGACAGTATTATGGAAGAAATGGTTTGTCGTGAGAGTAAGTGAAGATAGCACGATATCCAATGTGGCAGGGAGGGATTAGAAATAGAGCAAGGTTGTAATAGTGTTTGCTGCCCATTGGAGGGTTATGGATCAGTTCCTTTTCCTCTACATTTTCTAATCTCCCTACGGAAGCCTATGTTGCTTTTGAAATACAAGGAGAAGAAAGCCTCTGGAACTGAGTGAGTATACAGGTAGGTGTACAAGACTTCCAGTGCCCCATCCTTCACCTCAGCCTATTAATGTGCACAAGTGAGCACACACATGATTCATCAATGACCTTTGTAATTGGAAGATAGCTTTTGTTCTTGTGTATGAAACTATCTGATTAATCTGACAGCCAGGTGTTTACTGAGCACCTGCTAAGCATCCAGCCCTGTACTAGGCTGTCCAATCCATCACATGTAATGTGGAGAAAAACTACTCATCCCCTAATCGTGCAGGGGTCACCCCGTCTCACATTCTGTTCACAGAGCCTTGGCCTGTGAACAGAAAAATGTTCCGTCAGTGTTGTAAAATTGCTACCTTGTCCCTCAGTCCATCACTACACTGAGAAAAGTATCTCACCAAATTTTTGCTATAGTATCATAAGGGTGAATTTCTCCAATCCTGAGACATGTAAAAAATTACTTCCTGTGTGTTTGAATTTCACTGCTATCTTCCTGTTTACCACCCTCACCCTTCCCAACGGGGAGAGAAGGAGGGGAAGATGAGCTAAGGGTTAGGGGTAGGGATGGCCGAGGAGGCTGGAATTATATTGTCATCACAGATGGGCACCACCCATCCAGAGAGGAAGCGGAGTGTGTTCAGTCCCAGCCGATCTGAAGGACACGGGTGTGGAGGTGGTGGTTCTCACCTTCCCTGGGAGACGAGTGTGTTTGCAAATTCAGTATCTCTGCAAAATAAGAGGCATAGTCATGGAATTGATGGAGAAGACAGGAAAACGCCAGGGCCAGATGACACAACAAAATGGAGAAAAATGGACTTTGTCCTGAGAGGCGACCACTCCAGCCCTGAACACCTGGAACATACAAGCCCAGGCATCTGCCTAAGCCCTGGAGGACCCTAAGGAGCTTTACCCCTCATTTTCCACAGTAGAAATAGGTGTCATGAGTGAGAGAGTCCATGCCTGCCATGCCTGCTCCAGCTGTCCCCTCCTCTGCCAGCCTGTGCACTTGTTTAACCTATTTTCCAAAGAGGCTGCACTCTGCCCAGCGGACGACAGCCAAACAGAGCCGGGAAGATGGCAGCCGACTGCAGCCTTGAGTCCTGCCTGACTGCTGCAGTAACTGGGGTGTCAGCAGATGACGCGTGGCGGCCAGACCTGATCAGCCTCCTAAAGAACAGCGCGACAGAAGGACAGCTGAAGCCGTTGTAACGACAGGAGGCTGGCAGGGCAGGCGACACTTCCCACCATCACCAAAGATGGATGCAAATTGGTTTGGTTCTGACCCTGTCACACCAGGGAGGATCATGATTCGAGCAGGGCTGGGCAAGGGAGGGGCGCAGCAGGGGCGGTGAGGATTGGCGTCTCCCTTCACGTGTTCATTAATGCTCTGAAAGACTGGGCAAGCGGCCTGCTAATGAAACCTGCAGATGATTGGTGTTGCAAACCTCAGAGAGGACCGAGAAACAGCACGGTGAGACCCAGAAAGCTTAGAAATATGGGCAGCAGATTGTCAAATGGGATTCATCCTAGGAAAATGAAAGTCAGCGCGACAGGGAGCGGTGATGGAGACGCCTCTGGCTGGAGCCTGCAGCCGGGAAAGCTGATGGGTGGCCGGGTCAGGAGGCTGAGGAAGGGGATACGGTTTGGGTGTGTTGGGGGAGACAGAGGAGCTGGCCCTTGCGAATTTCTGTCCAGGACTGACTGTAGAGCCAACAGTGTCACCCAGGGCCCTCTGCAAGGTCAGGCCTCTGACGTCATGGCCATAAGATGCACATATTTGCATTTAAGTTAAGGGGAATAAAGCTGTTTTGACCTGTTTTACTAAAATGAAAAGGCAAAAGACATTTTTAAATTTTTTACCCTTAATTATTGAAGATAGGCTACTCAAGAGCAGGGGCAAGAAGAGCCCCCCCATCTTCCGTGGCTTCCCATCCTCTGTGAACATTTCTTGGACATGTTAACTCATTTACATTAAGTGCACAGATCTTAAGCGGACAGGTCAGTGTTATTTTCTGTGAGCAAATCACTTCACATCACCTAGTCTTAGTTTCCTCATCTGAATGAGAGCACCAGCAGCAGCGCCTGTCTCAGAGCTGAGGGCTATATTTCGCTTTTTCAGAACTGGGGATTGAATCCAGGGCTTCTGCGATGAGCCACCAGCCCTTTGTATGTTTTCTTGTGTGACAGGGTCTCATGGGTCGCTAAAGCGCACAGACTGGACTTGAATTTGTGATCTTCCTGCCTCAGCCCTCCCTCTCAGAGTGCTGGGATTACAGACATGCACCTCCTGTCCTTACAGATGTGCCTGGCTCATACCTATGTTTAGAGGATTAAATGAGCTGGAACAATAAAGCCCCTAGGACAGGGATGGCAAAGCTTTTAGAGATGAGCACCCAAACTATAACCCAAAACCCACTTATTTATCATACAGTGCAATTAACCCTGAATTTAGCAATTAAACCTGAATATTGAGATTTTAGTTTAGAAAAAACAACTCCTGGGCCGGGGATTTAGCTCAGCGGTTCGGTGGCCTGCCTTGCAAGCGCAAGGACCCAAGTTCAATCCCCAGTACCAAAAAAATAAAAACCTCCTAAATTAACATCTTTTGTCTTAAAAAAAACAAAACAAAACATCGTGTCATAGGTTGACCACCACTGCCCTAGCACATAGTAAGCACTGAGATACAGATGATTAGCATTACTACTTAGTACCCTTTAATTTTATTTCCTAAGCTTTACTCCTACTCCACATATAAATTATTACCTTCTCAGACATCTTTTCAGAGCGCAGATGCTGAGTAAATCCTGCTTGATGGATGGAGGTGCTAGAATCTTCTTAGAATGATTTTGTTCTTAGCCAACTCAGGTCTTCTTTCAGTGAAATCACTTTCTTCAAAGTGAAAGAAGAGTATGTAAAATCCTCATATCAGAGTCCTTTTGGAG